TGGAAGGATCGTAACTGAAGATTTGAAGCTCAAAAAGACTCCTGCAAAATTCATCCCAAGATTCCTCACCAATGAGCAAAAACTGTGTCGGCTTGCAACCTGTGAGGACATGATGGAAATGACAAGAACGGATCCAGAATGGAAAAACAAGATAATCACAGGCGACGAGACATGGGTCTATGGCTATGACCCTGAAACCAAACCTCAAACTGCCGAGTGGAGAGGTTAGGGTGAGCCTAGACCCAAAAATCCAGAAACAAGGTGTTGCTGGTCGCCTTTTCGGATAACAAGGGCATTGTTCATCACGAGTATCTTCCTGCAGGCCAAACAGTTATTAAGGAAATGTATTTGGGCATTCTTCGCCGTCTAAGGGAAGCGATTCGAAAAAAAAGGCCAGAAAAATGGACTAATGGTGGCTGGATCCTACACCATGACAATGCTCGCCCTCACACAGCGCACTTGATGACTAGCTTTTTGGCGAAAAACGGGACACAAATCCTACTTCAACCACCCTATTTCCCAGACATCGCACCAAATGACTTTTTCCTGTTCCCCAAACTTAAAGCAGTTCTAAAAGGAAGACATTTTGACACCAGGGATGGCATAATAGAAAAATAGCCGTTAGCATTGAAGAGCATTCCAAAAGAGGCTTATAAAAACTGTTTCGACAATTGGGAGAAACGATGGCGCTGGTGCGTTGAAGCAAGGGGGGATTACTTAGAAAAGTTTTAATAAAAAAAAATTTAAAAAAATTTTACCTTTTTTTTTTATGGACCCAGTCCGGGAACTTATGGGACATACCTTGTAAAACGAAAGGATTTAATCATGAATGTTTCTTTTATTTACAATACAAACTTCTACTCTCCTTACTGCGATGAAAAATATATTGCGAGAGCTTGGCTCATCAGTGGTGAACCTTCCCAGCGGTTTCGCCAATTTAATACACCAGACCGCTTCTTAGAGCTCTAATACTGTATCGGTATCTGCTTATATACGCAGCACTGAAGGGTGGAATCTCAGAAATGGTTTTCAAGAAAACTATGAACATAAGCTTATAGGACAGTAGAATTACATTTAAATATTTGCATCGAGCAATGCTCTTACGCAAAGAAAAGCACATATCGAGAGAAGATTAGAACCATGTCAAGGATGCTCTAACTGTGTTTGTCTTGGGTGCAAAGACCATCGCATTCTTCTAAAGAGGAATTCTCATCCTCTATATGTTTTGTCAGTAGACCATTCCATATTCGTCAAGGAGAACAGGGATATCTCTTTCTTGTCCCTTACTCTGTGTGTTGCAGTCTTCTGAAGTTTGGAAGATATATTAGCATATATGTGCACATATTTAAATAAGATATATATGTAAATAATGTCGTGCTGCGCCTACGCTAAGATGACGAGGTGTGCAGGCACGCAGCCGGAGAACAAAGACCGCTCTGTACCGCCGCAGTCATGGCTCGATGGCCTCCGCCGAGCCTGGCTTTGGCTCCGTCCGTCCTTCGCATGTGAGTTGACTTTCTCCCCTTCCTGCGCAGGGATTGACACAGAGCTGCTTCTTTCTGTTAGATGCTTCCACACATACCAGTATTTCAACATTTTATATACAATCTTATAAAGTAAATAAAGCTTCCAGGGTTAAGTTTCTTGTTAAAATGTTTTATTTTCAAGCTTTCGGACTTGTCAGTCCTTCAACAGGAGTATCACGATAATAAATTGATGATATATACACTATTTTTATATATACAAATTTATTTTTACGTATTTAAATATATCACTTTTCCAATTCTTTAGAAAACATATACACTTCTTTCAATGATTTGAAGTACCAAATTGGGAGTTATGGAACCTGTTGAATTTAATTAGATTTATAAAGATACCGATTCCAAGAAGATTAATCAAACATTATTGATTTACAAGAGAGAGAAAAATATAAAAGTGAAGCTTCATAACATAGTAAACAAAGAGAAACTTATTTTCTTACGGTTAGCACCTATTTACTTGTGATCTTACATTTATTCTCTGTGAGAAAAATTAATTAATTAAATTTAAATATATATATATACAACAGAATCTTATAACCCAATATGTCTCTTACATGTGTAGATATGTAATCTACATGTAAAAATTCGATTATAAAATAAATGAAGCTTCCAGGGCTATGTTTCTTGTGCAACTTTTTATTTTAAAGCTTTCAGACTTGTCAGTCCTTCAACAGGATTATCACATTAACAACTTAATAATAAATAGTATTTTTATATTGTAGCGTAGAAATCAAGCCTTGAAATATCCTAAGATGTAAAAGTATTTATTGATGACATCACAGCGACAAGTCGACAATTATTAACAGGTCAGCCCCCACTATCTACCGCTAGAGAATCTTAAGCAAGCAAGCAAAGAAATATTTTAAAGATGATTTCACAAAGACAGATTAATATATATTTTTATAATCTGTTGAATATATTTTCATTGAATAATATTGAATTAAATAATAAAATATTTCTTCGCCACATAGCCTCCTCCTATAAAGAGCATCGACCCGATGCTCAGCAGGAGACTTACGTCGTCAGTCTTAAGAACTAGTACTATGGCCAGGGATATTTTCAGGTGACTGCGGTGGATGTCTTCTTTCAGTTGAGATATCTTCTTCATGAGGACTTGGTAGGTCTATGTTTACGTCAATGTAGCTTTTTCTAATTTCTACTGTGGTCGGCAAGGGGGGATTTTTTAACTTTACGGCCTCACCTCCAATGTGGTCTATCATCTAGTTTTAATGGCGGGGCGTCCAGCTAGATCTTCTAGCAGGTGAGAAATTTTGTCTGTTTCGGCCGGTATATGGGGTAGAGCTTCGGTAGCGACTGAAATTTTTCCTCGATGATTCATCGTTAGGTTCCTGAGATTCGGTTTGAGAGTTGTAGAATTCCTTTGCGTCTTGCTTTCTTCGGAAGTATTCATTTCTCCTCTCCTCATTGTGTCTCTTCCTGTCGCGGCAATAGCGGACGACGTGACCTGGGCGTCCGCAGTAGAAACAGATTGGCTTTCCCTCAGTTGTCCGCCATTCATTGGTGTCACATCTTCTTCCTTGCTTTCGGTAATGAGGTTCAGGATGCGGTCGTATCGTTTGGGCCTCGTATCTAGTATTTGGTTCCGGCCTGGTTGCTTGAGGGGGACTTATTGTAGGTTTTGATTTAGGTGCCAAGGTCTTTACAATCTCTTCCCTCACTAAATCTTCAATGACAGCGATTTTAGGCTCCTCTTGAGGAGAGTCCAATGCTTGCTTTATCTCTTCACGAACAATTTTTCGGATCAGCGATGACAGATCTTCTCCGTCATCCTGGTCACAGAGAGAGGCTACATTTGGTAGACGCTCGTACTTGGTTGGGGTAACTCGCCTACAACGGAGCTCTTCGACACGGCGACATTCTGTAATGAATTGCTCGGTGCTCTGTACATCCCTCGGTAGGAGTGCTTGATAAAGCTCCTCAGCTATCCCCTTCATGAGGTGCGAGATTTTATCTTCCTCGCTCATTTGAAGATCAGCCTCTTTGCACAAGCACAGGACATCCTGGATGTAAAATTCGGTACTTTCACCTTTTAATTGTGCCCGTGTTTTAAGTTTCTTCTCCGCTTGCAATTTTGAATTTTCTTTTTTTCCGAACACATTCTCTAATTGAGATGTGAATTCCTTCCAAGTCTGGATGCTTTCTTCGTTGTTCTCAAACCATTTGAGAGCAGTTCCAGACAGATAAAAATAAACTTTAGTAAGACAAAGGGTTTCGTCCCAATGGTTGTACTTTGCCACACGTGCATACCCTTTTAACCATTTTTGGAGATCTTCACCATCCTCCCCGGAGAAAATGGAAGGGTTCCTTGGCAGATGTTGAACAACGTAGTTGCTTACCTGGGTACCTGCTTCCGTCTTTACATTCATAGAAGTTTCGTCTGATTCAACAGAATCAATTTTTCTTTTATTTCTTAATGGGTATCGGTCCAGCTTCTCCACCAGTTGTAGCGTAGAAATCAAGCCTTGAAATATCCTAAGATGTAAAAGTATTTATTGATGACATCACAGCGACAAGTCGACAATTATTAACAGGTCAGCCCCCACTATCTACCGCTAGAGAATCTTAAGCAAGCAAGCAAAGAAATATTTTAAAGATGATTTCACAAAGACAGATTAATATATATTTTTATAATCTGTTGAATATATTTTCATTGAATAATATTGAATTAAATAATAAAATATTTCTTCGCCACAATATACACATTATTATATGCCTAGTGGACATGGATGGCATCTGCCCGGTAAGCGGAACATTGTGGGTTCGATTCCCATCCCTGGACACTTTTATTTTTCCGTTCATCATTACTCTTCATAATTCACCCTTTCATACTCATCCAAAGAGGTTAGAAATAGTCAATATTTCACCTTGAAATAAATTTTGATTTTTCATTGAAAAGAAACTCATGCGGTGTAACTTCAAGTGTCGTTTTACATTATTATATACATATTTTAAATACTTATTATATATTAAGAGAAATTCTATTTAACATTATTATAAGTGTCCGATAGTACATGTGTAGACATGGGTATACTTACAACATAAGCAATCTTAACACGATTGTCACCTAATAGTATATGTTGTAGTTCCATCATAAAAAGCCACAATTATCCATGGTGTGTACTAGACATACCTATATTAGGGACCAATCACAAACCTCCACCGCTGTCACAATCAGAGGCCTCGCTATAAACCACAATTTATTGTTAAATCTTTCATTGTTACATAAAGAAAATTATTTCGTCACTTTTCTGTTGAGTTTGAGAATTTACTAAATAATGCGTTATATAAAACGACATTTAAAAATTATCCCGCATGTGTTTCCTTTAAACGAAAAATCGAAATTTATTTTTAAGGAGAAATAACGATTATTTCTAACCTTAGAGATGAGGTATGAAAGGATGAATTGTGAAGAGTAATGATAAACGGAAAAATAAAAGTGTCCAGGGATGGGAATCGAACCCACAGTGTTCCGCTCCCGGGCAGATGCCATGTCCACTTGGCTACCCTGGACATATTTTACTGTTCGTAAATATTATATGAGGTAAGTTATAATAAAATATAATGCGGCTTATGATTGTATAACTACATTTAAAAATTATCCTGCATGTGTTTCTTTTGAACGAAAAATCGAAATTTATTTTAAAGAGAAAAAACTATTATTTCCAACCTTAGGGATGAAGTATGAAAGGATTAATTGTAAAGAGTAATGATGATATACTTAAAATGCTTTAAAATAATTGTAAAATATAAACTTCAAGGAAATCCAACACAGTATATTTATATGAAAAATGTTAGTGTGTATTCTAACATGTCGAATTTGAAAGATTTTAAGGAAGGTTGGGGTCTAGCGTAGACGTCATGCTACAGGGAGTGACGACAATAAATAGTACGTGATGGCAAGTCCCGCCAGATGGCGCTGTTTCTCCCCGACTTTGTGTGTGGTTGCTGTCAAGGCACTTAGCGTCAAGTGGGAGCCGGTAGTATAGAGGTCTGGGCGTTGAGACCGCGATATACGAGTTGTGTTGGGGCTTGTGGCGATCCTTTATTGCGAGTTACTTCTTCTATTGTTGTACACCGTAATACATTTAGTTGGTTGTTATAGTACATATAGTTGGTTCCTTGGTTTTTATGGCATACCGAAATATATATAGTTGGTTTTGTAGTTATTATGTAACACCGCAATATAGTTAGTTGGTTCTTTGGTTGTTATGGAATACTGCAGTACAGAGAGTTGGTTCTTTGGTTGTTATCACATACCGAAATACAGATAGTTGGTTCTTTGGTTGTTATGGCATACCACAAAACAGATATTTGATTTAGTAGTTGTTATGGCATACCACAAAACAGATATTTGATTTAGTAGTTGTTATGGAATACCACAAAACAGATATTTGATTTAGTAGTTGTTATGTCAGATCGAAATATATAGAGATAGTTGGTTTTGTATTCCTTTTGACACCACGCAAAACACAGAGTTGATACATGGCTACATTTGTTAATTAATTTATATAAAAACGAGGTAATGAGTGGCAATCAAAGTACCGATGTTGGATTGAAGGTAGATCACAGCACTTTGGACATTGAGATTCACTAAGGCCTTCAGGATATGGCACAGCGCTCGTAGCTTTACCTCCAGACTTCGTATTCAAATTTGTTTATTAAATTGGGTTTTTCCATACTGGTTCTATATTATGATGTATTAGTGCGCCATCTGTTATGAAGATTCGAAACTATTATAGACGTGTATGATTCTGTTAAAAATTATATAATTTCTACTGTCTATGAAAATTAGAAACTATTATAGACACGTATGATTCTGTTAAAAATTAAACAATATCTACTGTCTATGGAAATTCGAAACTATTATAGACACGTATGATTCTGTTAAAAATTATACAATATCTACTGTCTATGGAAATTCGAAACTATTATAGACACGTATGATTCTGTTAAAAATTATACAATATCTACTGTCTATGGAAATTCGAAACTATTATAGACACGTATGATTCTGTTAAAAATTATACAATATCTACTGTCTATGGAAATTCGAAACTATTATAGACACGTATGATTCTGTTAAAAATTATACAATTTCTACTGTCTATGAAAATTCGAAACTATTATAGACACGTATGATTCTGTTAAAAATTATACAATATCTACTGTCTATGAAAATTCGAAACTATTATAGACACGTATGATTCTGTTAAAAATTATACAATATCTACTGTCTATGAAAATTCGAAACTATTATAGACACGTATGATTCTGTTAAAAATTATACAATTTCTACTGTCTATGAAAATTTGAAACTATTATAGACACGTATGATTCTGTTAAAAATTATACAATTTCTACTGCCTATGAAAATTCGAAACTATTATAGACACGTATGATTCTGTTAAAAATTAAACAATATCTACTGTCTATGAAAATTCGAAACTATTATAGACGGGTATGATTCTGTTAAAAATTAAACAATATCTACTGTCTATGAAAATTTGAAACTACTATAGACGGGTATGATTCTGTTAAAAATTATACAATATCTACTGTCTATGAAAATTCTAAACTATTATAGACACGTATGATTCTGTTAAAAATTATACAATATCTACTGTCTATGGAAATTCGAAACTATTATAGACACGTATGATTCTGTTAAAAATTATACAATATCTACTGTCTATGAAAATTCGAAACTATTATAGACACGTATGATTCTGTTAAAATTATACAATTTCTACTGTCTATGAAAATTCGAAACTATTATAGACACGTATGGTTCTGTTAAAAATATACAATTTCTACTGTCTATAAAAATTTGAAACTATTATAGACACGTATGATTCTGTTAAAAATTATACAATATCTACTGTCTATGAAAATTCGAAACTACTATAGACGGGTATGATTCTGTTAAAAATTAAACAATATCTACTGTCTATGAAAATTTGAAACTACTATAGACGGGTATGATTCTGTTAAAAATTATACAATATCTACTGTCTATGAAAATTCGAAACTATTATAGACACGTATGATTCTGTTAAAAATTATACAATATCTACTGTCTATGAAAATTCGAAACTATTATAGACACGTATGATTCTGTTAAAAATTATACAATTCTACTGTCTATGAAAATTTGAAACTACTATAGACGGGTATGATTCTGTTAAAAATTAAACAATATCTACTGTCTATGAAAATTCGAAACTACTATAGACGGGTATGATTCTGTTAAAAATTATACAATATCTACTGTCTATGAAAATTCGAAACTATTATAGACACGTATGATTCTGTTAAAAATTATACAATATCTACTGTCTATGAAAATTCGAACCTATTATAGACACGTATGGTTCTGTTAAAAATATACAATTTCTACTGTCTATAAAAATTTGAAACTATTATAGACACGTATGATTCTGTTAAAAATTATACAATATCTACTGTCTATGAAAATTCGAAACTACTATAGACGGGTATGATTCTGTTAAAAATTATACAATATCTACTGTCTATGAAAATTTGAAACTACTATAGACGGGTATGATTCTGTTAAAAATTATACAATATCTACTGTTTACTAAGAGAACAACTTGATGAGGGAAGAGTATCTTTAATATAATCAAATCACAAGCTTTCGGGCATAACCGCCCATCGACAGGTATAAAAACGAGACAAAATCACTATGGCAATCAGCTATATATATATACAAAAAAGTAAGAAAATGAGACAAATATGTAAAATTTGTGCCAGAGAATTAACATAATAACGAAGGATCATTCATAGAAGTTAGGCAAAGCATGCAATCAACATATAATACATACAATACAAGGCTATTACAGAGACTAAGTATGAACAACGACTATAAAATAAAACAAAATAAAAATAAAATATATCTACTGTCTATGAAAATTCGAAACTATTATAGACACGTATGATTCTGTTAAAAATTATACAATATCTACTGTCTATGAAAATTCGAAACTATTATAGACACGTATGATTCTGTTAAAAATTATACAATTCTACTGTCTATGAAAATTTGAAACTACTATAGACGGGTATGATTCTGTTAAAAATTAAACAATATCTACTGTCTATGAAAATTCGAAACTACTATAGACGGGTATGATTCTGTTAAAAATTATACAATATCTACTGTCTATGAAAATTCGAAACTATTATAGACATGTATGATTCTGTTAAAAATTATACAATATCTACTGTCTATGAAAATTCGAAACTATTATAGACACGTATGATTCTGTTAAAAATTATACAATATCTACTGTCTATGAAAATTCGAAACTATTATAGACACGTATGATTCTGTTAAAAATTATACAATTTCTACTGCCTATGAAAATTCGAAACTATTATAGACACGTATGATTCTGTTAAAAATTATACAATATCTACTGTCTATGAAAATTCGAAACTATTATAGACACGTATGATTCTGTTAAAAATTATACAATATCTACTGTCTATGAAAATTCGAAACTATTATAGACACGTATGATTCTGTTAAAAATTATACAATATCTACTGTCTATGAAAATTCGAAACTATTATAGACACGTATGATTCTGTTAAAAATTATACAATTTCTACTGCCTATGAAAATTCGAAACTACTATAGACACGTATGATTCTGTTAAAAATTATACAATATCTACTGTCTATGAAAATTCGAAACTATTATAGACACGTATGATTCTGTTAAAAATTATACAATATCTACTGTCTATGAAAATTCGAAACTATTATAGACACGTATGATTCTGTTAAAAATTATACAATATCTACTGTCTATGAAAATTCGAAACTATTATAGACACGTATGATTCTGTTAAAAATTATACAATTTCTACTGTCTATGAAAATTCGAAACTATTATAGACACGTATGATTCTGTTAAAAATTAAACAATATCTACTGTCTATGAAAATTCGAAACTATTATTGACACGTATGATTCTGTTAAAAATTATACAATATCTACTGTACAATATAACGCGGCTGATGATTGTAAAACGAAATTTAAAATTATACCGCGAATGTTTCTTTTAAAAATCGAAATTTATTTTCAAAGAGAAATAGCGACATTTCTAACTTTGAGGATGAGGTATGGAAAGGTGAAACATGAAGAGTAATGGAGAACGGAAAAATAAAAAGTGTCCAGGGGCGGGAATCGAACCCACACCCTTCTACTTACCGGGCAGGTGCCTTGTCAACTCGGCTACCCTGGACGTATTTTTCCGTTCATAACTTATATTTAAAGTAACATTTAAAATACAATATAACGCGGCTGATGATTGTAAAACGAAAATTTCGCGGTATAATTTTAATTTTCGTTTTACAATCATCAGCCGCGTTATATTGTATTTTAAATGTTACTTTAAATATAAGTTATGAACGGAAAAATACGTCCAGGGTAGCCGAGTGGACAAGGCACCTGCCCGGTAAGCAGAAGGGTGTGGGTTCGATTCC